GAGGGGACGCTCAGGTGCTGCTGGGGAACTGGAGGCCCAGCCCCGGCACAGCGAGGGGCCCAGGGGCTTCTCCCACCTCCTCCTCGGGGATGATGGCCGTCCACACCTCATGGACCATGTCTTGCCAGCCGGCCTCCAGCAGCACAGCAGCATCCAGCACACACACGGCCCTTCCTGGGGAGGGAGGACATGCCTCATTATCTGGCAAGGGTGAGGCTCCCTGGGGTCCAGCCCCACCAGTCCCCTCATGCTCATGGAGTCACACCTTCCTGCAAACTAGCAGCACAGAAGCTTTGCTGCTGGGCCAAAGAGCCTCATGCAGAAAAGAGAGCAGCAGGCAGAGGCTGCGTTAGCTTAAAGGACAGCAGGACTCCTGGGAATGGCAAGCCAGTGCCTCCAGGCAAATGCCTACTGAGCTACCAACAGTATCTCCCAAGAGCTGGAAAAATACCACTCCTGGAAGGAACACCCACCATGCTCACTGCTGGGGCACTATACCCAAACCAAACTTGGGAGTGGTGTGGGAAGGAAAGAGCCACTTCCACCTTCCTTCAATCAGACCCTGGGATAAGCCTGGTGATGCTCATGGTGCTGCCGAAAGCAGCTGATTCCTGGGGCTCAATGTGCTGTACAAAACCATGCACCCAACTCCCACCTTTGTGCTGAGACTGGAGCCACCCCAGTTACCTTGAGCCTCTGCCTCTCTGATCTGCTCCTTGACCATCCGGGCTATCTCAGGCCACACAATGTCCGTGAGACTCTTCAGCTGCTCCTAGGAAGGACCATGACAGGGTTTGGTGACTTTGCCCTCAGAACCCTCAGGCAGCCACCCAGGGGATGGCTGGTGGCAGAAGACAGAGAACATCCAGAAAGAGCGGGGTGCTGGGCCTGGCCCACTGCCTGCTGCTAAGCACAAGGAAGGAACAGTTCCACACTTCCCAGTGCTGCCACAGCTTCGGATGGGGCCAAGGCTTTCCTGTTACTTTCCTCAGTTGCTGCTGCAAGAGGCACTTTGCCCGGACCCACTCACAGCACAGCCCCGGTCTGTGACAGTCTCTGTGCTGCTCTTACCTGGTTTCCAAACACTTTGGCCCCAAGGACTTTCCTGTTAATTGTCCCATCTTCATTCACAATTTCTGCAAGACAGAAGCAGAACAGGCTGTGGAGGAATGAACCCAACTCATTTCCCTGCACAAGCCGAGGTCAGAGGGAAAGGATCCCAGCACAGGCTCCCAAAGGGACCCAGAGAGGAACTATAGGACCTGGACTGGCAGTTCTTCACCTTACCCCAGGAAAGGACAGGAAAGAGCTTTTCCTAGGCAAGCAGCAGCTTGTCACCTTCCACACCAGTTTACAGTAGCTCTAATTTGGGACACACAAGACTTGGGGGAAGCAGGAGTTTGCCCTGCTCAGGCCCAGCTGTCACTGAATCAGCCACTGAGCCCCGTGGGGTGGTGGGGAGCCCAAAGCCCACAGAGAGGAGGAGCAGGTGCTCCCTGGGACACCAGGTCAGAAGCACAGCCCTCCCTCCCCTGCTCCTCCCAGTCCTCGCCGCAGCTCTACCTGCCCCAAAGGCTGCCACCACCTGCTCGTAGGCAGGGCCCCCGGGGACATAGACAGCGTGGCCCAGCTTGTCGGCGTCGATGAGGAAGGCTCCCAGCTGCCCCAGGAGTTTGGCAATGGAGGTTTTCCCACTCCCGGTTCCTCCCGTCAGGCCGATCACGTACGGGCGCAAAGGCAAGGCAGGGTCTTGCTGCGGGAAGAAGGAAAAGGCATTGCCAGCAGATGGAGGATGTGGGCTCTGCTGGAGAAGGATCCTGACCATTCAGCCTGGAGATGGACAGAGAAGGTCCTAGCCCTGCAGAGCAAGTTCCCCTGAAACTCATCCCCCCACAGCAGGGGCCGAGCTGGCTCAGCAGCTCCTGAGGCCGCTGCCCCCCG